GCTAATGCCTCCAAACCTCCCAAACCAACTCTGCAGCCATCAGAACCACCTCTTCCCTGCACCATGCCCAGGAATTACTTACAAATGAAATGCAACTGGATATATTGCTTCTGCAACCCTGGAAATTCAAGTTACAGAGGTGACATTACATTTTGTTTTCCCAATGCTAATCTAATAACTTTTTAAAGGTGCGTACATTTCACCCCGTTGGCTTCCAACACTGAATTACCAGCTCTGCGAAGCTTCAGAATAAATGAGACAAGCGTGCCTTCTGGGCGAAATCCCTTGCTGTAATCTTTATTCAAAACACACGGCTTCGGAGCCTTGCATGCATTGCCAAAAATCGCCTTGAGGTTTGCTCTTAAGATGGCAATTTGCATATCACCATTTTGCTGCAGAGCTTACCCAATGTCCCCGCTATTATTTTAATACTCAACTGTGGGCGGCCCCCCGAGCGGCGCACAGAAGTGCACACTAAAAATACTCTTGCCTTCCCCACCGGCTCTGCACATGACCACAGCTAACGGCGTCTCGGCTGCAAAACCGGGAGCGATGGCAGCCATCCGCCTTTCAAGGAGGATGCACAGGCTCCAAAGCGCTCAGAAAACGTGCTAAGAAGCAGAAAAGTACCTCTGCATGGATAGAGGAAGGATGCACACAGCAGCTGGAAGAGGAAGACCGCGGAAAGAGCCAGTTTTGCAGTCAAGCAAAGCAGGAGAGGTTTATCCGAGCGCCAAACATACTCGGGAAAACACATTAAGAGGTAATAAAGCAGGCGAGGGAGGCATCACCCGGGACATGAATTTAAGATGATGCTGAACAGAGGAAAGAAAAGAAACCTCATGTACAGAATAGGAACGATCCCGGGCGAACGCAGCCTGATTCATGCTCCAGAAGGGAGATCCCAGTCCCATTGGCAGTGTCGCATTGATGAAAGCGCATGAAAAAAAAAAAAAAAAAATGTGGATTGCAGGTTTTTCTGTGCTCTCCTCCCCCTCACCCAGCAAATCATAGTCTCGGAGGTTGTAATTATTTTTGGCAAGGTGTAAACAGGTCCGGGAGATGAAACTGAAAACCAGTTATTTACGAGATGCAACGCAGGAGAGCCAGCATCGGAGCTCAGCTACCAAATCAGCAAGTGCAAGGTCACCCTCATCTGCTTCGGAAAGCAACTTTGCAAAGTGGTTTGCAGCCAGACAGGCAAAATAGTCAGCCTCAGTCTGCCCAGGAAGGCAAGTAATAGAAACGGAGCATGATGAACCACCAGAAAACGTTGCTGTGTTAACTACAAGGGTTTTATCACGGCACTGCTAGGCTTTGAGATGACATCCATCGAGGTGATGCCCACGCAGCCTTTAACTGACCATGACAACTACCTGCTTCTCTGGGCTATGGGAGAGAAGCAAGAAGGATATCAGCTCCATAAGTCTTCCTCCATCAAAGCTGTTGTAGAGGGAGGCAGACAAGGGGCTCCATCAGCATGTGAAAGACTAGTGAAGACCACTCATTACCTTACCTTGAAGACTACTGCTTGCTCCTACCCAGGAAGAACCACAGATTTTGGAAAGTAATTTGCTCGTAAAGAGAAAAGCTTTACAGTCTCACTCTCTTTTTCTGCCAGCAGACAAAAAGCAGCAAAAGCTGAACCCTCCCTGCAAGAGGCTATTGCACCCCAATGGGGCTGAAGAAGCCAGCAGGATCCCAAGCCCACAAAGAAACCCCCAAGGAGAACGTGAAAGCTCTTTCTGGTCTTACCAAAGGAAGGAAGGAATACCAGAGGTGCAGGGAGGCAGGAGGCAAGTGTCCCAAAGACAAGAGGACCTCCAGACTGCTTTCTCTGCACACTCTCTTTATATTCCACATTCATATGCCTCACAAACAGGACTAGGACCCACAGCCCTGTTTTTCCAAGGATGGGATTACAGTAAATTCTAATTAATTTTTAAAAGGACGCCAAACACAATGTGTTAGGAAAGGAACTGGACAAAGAGGGGAGCAAGCCTGTAGACCTGAGAGCCCATGAGACATCTCTATATATAAAAGGACACAAAGGTACATCTGAATAATGTGCAAAGAAGAAAAAAAGAAAAAGGGAAATAAGCAGACCTTGGTTTCCATGCACAAAGAAGAGGATATTTACAGTTAAACTGCAGGTATTCCCTGAGGGAAGGGGGAAAAAAAAAAAAAAAAAAAAAAAGGCAAGCAAACCAGAAATCAAATTTTTTCCATTGCCCTATGTTTGGGGCAACAGAGAAGAAACCAATCTGCCTGAAGCTCTGAAGATGATAATCAGGAAAATATCTGTAGTGAGCCTGTCAATCTGCTTTTTCAGACTGAAAGGTGAGTCAGTCGCAGCATCCTGTTTCACTGTAATATCGCAGCACTGTTTACACCACTTTGCTAAGACGTATCCCCAACGGACCAGTTTCTGAGCTAGGCTAAGATAGCAACCCATGATATTTTTAGAAAAAAACAACCCATACCTCCGAAACTCCCCTGCGGTGCACAATCAATACTTAAGAAGGGTTTTGAAAACACACGGCTGTTCTCTAAAAGAGAAGTGTCAATAAGCTTGGGACAGCATCTCTGGGGCTTCGACACCTGCATTTTGCCACCTACTTCCATCTTCACCCACTTGCAGTTAACGGAAGCTGAAGGTCCTCAACACTGAGAAATCCAGCCACTAACACGCAGTGGCCTCAACACAACTTTATGCATCACTATTTAATTTTTTTTTTTTTTTTACCATTAGTAAAAGTAATCTTAGTAAAATGACTTGAGTTTTCCCCATCACTACAAATCTGGAGAGCTTTACAAATGGTACGAGATGGCACGCAAGAGGAGGGCGAGCATGAGCAGGCTGAGGACGCTTCTCTGATCACAGCTATACTTATTCCCGTGGCCTGATTCTGCCTGCACTGATCCCACAGCTCCACAGCAGCTTCCGCAGAAAAAAGACAGAAATTTTCAATTCTTTAGAACGAAAGAAAAAAAAAAAAACACAAAAAAACATAAAACCAAACAAACCCACATGCGCTATCATTATATATATGTGAATTTTATATATATCTTATGCACTACATTTTAAAAATGGTTATTTAATAACATATATATGTATATAAATTTAATTTCACATACTTTTCAACGGAGTACCCACTCTTGGCTGCTACTTGTAGCAGAATATTTGATGGGACAAGACATTAAGGTCTCTCCAGCAGCAAGAGGCACTGAGGGAAGAGAGTGGCTGGGGATACATCAAGCAGATGACAGAAGACATCAAAACATTTGGGAAAGAGAAATCACATCTCAAGCTATTTCACAATATGTTTAAACTTGTATAAACTAGGTATTTTAGAAATTAGGAGGTTCTCATGAGAGTCGAGAAAGCTAATAGTGTCACAAGGGATCGTAAATCTATTGTTTTGTGAGGAAAAAAGAAAAAAAAATCAAAACCTGTATTAAGGTTTAGCTCTTGCTTCATTTTGTAAGAAGGAAAAGCTCAAGATCCGCAGCTCCCAACAGAACGATGCAGTAAAAAAACTATATAGATGGATCTCCACCTTAATATATAGCACCTACTCTCCTACGGCCACATGATATTTTGATTCTTTTTTCTTAGCTGGGAACAGAAAATGCAGTTTATTGAAGTTAACTGGAAGTTATTGCAGCAATTACCATTAAAAAAAAGTTTGATTTCTCTTTAATAGAAATCCCATGGCAAACAGAAGGGACAAAGAGGGACTGCCAGTCACCGTCAGGGCGTTGAATGGTGCCTGTGCACAACCAGCATTGTAAGCAAATAACCTGCATTATCCTCTTTCAAAAAAAAAAAAAAAAAAAAAAGTTGGAGAAGAGATGCTTCGACAGAAGCGATGGCAAAATTACACAAACTCGAGGGATCACCATCTGCAGCTCCCGTGTCCAGGCAGATGAAGCACAATAAAATGTAAATGAAGAAAATCTGTCACATCGTTTATATTAAAACAAGGTGTTATCCGGCGAGTCAGCACAGTTCCTGCAGCATCATCGACCTTCCCCATCACCAAACAGATGCATGGCAGCATATTTTCCTCCCCTCTCCAAAATCAGAAGAACTCGGAGCATAATGAACATTTCCAGGCTGGGACGTGGGATGCTGCAAACCATTTGCTAATAATTCAGCTCAAACACAACTGCAATTGTCTGCAGTTAGTTGCAACCACTGCACCCTCTGATAAAAAGCCCTTCCTTTTAGCCACTAATGATTTCCAGACAAACTGTTCACGTTAAAAATTTTCAATACTGGTTATAGAACTAAGAACTAAATCCGAGGGGGAAATTTCAATGAAAAAAACAAAACAAAACAAAACAGTGGGTTTTGCATGAAAAACTCTGTCTTTTCAAGGCACAGCCTAGACTTCCCTTCAGATAGTTTTGCCTAGACTCAAAGTCACCATTGCACAGCTCACAAACCCAGTGAGACACCATCCAAGTCTTTCCCAAACAGCCCAGGAGGATTTTTTTTTCCCCTCAAGACACCCCAAAATTGGAGCAGGCGAGCTTCAGCTTGAGCACTACTGCATGCAGACTGTGGTCACAGTCATGAAGCATCACAAGCTGGTAAATAAATAAAGGAATATCAGGGGGAAAACAGAAAAAAAATAAGAAAAACAGTGTTCATGGCTGTATATGCCTCCACCACAGAGCTCCTAAGCTATGTGCTCATATGAGATTTTTTACAAAGCTGCCATTAATAGCAAGTTTGGGAGTTCCCTCATACCATATTTGACACTCTGGCACCTCACACGGCAAAGAAATGGGCTAATCCAAAAATTCGGGTCATAACACCTCCAAATCTGCCTGGTTTTGCATGCAGAAAAATGAAAGAAGGCACCTCCCTCCTCCACGCAGAAAGATCACAAGAAGAATCACTATAAACTATAAAAAAAAAAAAAAAAAAAGTCCCTCACCGAAGAAGAAAATGTTTTTATTTGACAGAAAGAAGGACTGTGGCAACCTACAGCACAACAGGGTTGGAATAAAATCCTAGAGCACGGCTGTCTCCTGCATTCCTTTACTCCATCCACCAGACGATGAAGGAGTCCTATAAGGGGGGAAAAAAAAAAAATAAAAATACACGGCCAAGTTATTCAAGACTACAATCACAATAAACGTATGCAGCAGCAAGGGAAGGAGGACAAAAAGTGCCCAGTAACCTCAAAAACCTCACGTATTAGAACATGTGGCTTTGCAGCGGTGGTGAGAGTAGAACAAGAATAAAATAAATGCTACACAATGAAGAGCATAAACCATTTTGCAGTTATTTTCTGGTTTTATTTAGGGAAAAGATTACAGAGATAGCAAAGAAATCGCAGCGTAACCCAACATGAGCATTTGCTTTTTTTTTTTTTTAAAAAAAAAAGTAAATTTACTAAAAAAAAAAAAAAAAAAAAAAAGGTAGGATTCTTATCTTGACTATATTCCTTTAGAAACACAGTGTATTATTAAAAACCGCCGATAACCTCCTGACAGCCAAAGGACACACGCTCCTTCGCAGGAGGGTGACAGTGTGAATTTTCTATGTAGCTTCCTGGGCACTCAACATCAAGTGATGGGCATGAGCTTCCCTTCATCCTTGCAACATTTAACACTACGGCTGGCAATGCCAACACAAGTTTGTGGCCAGATTTTGTATTTGCATGCGTCAAAAAGTATGCTCTAAAAGAAAAAAAAAAAAAAAAGCAGTTTGAAGGGTTGGTGATGCTGCTGGAAGACAAGTTTTGCAGTATTTCCCCTGCCGGTGCCAGCACGTAGGCACGCTCCAATGCTTCATTTTGCGAGTTAAACTCATGCTTAAATATCTGGATGAAATTTAGGCCAAATGGATCATGTTCTTATGGTCAAGAAGATCCCACCAACCATGTCCTGAGTGGAAGGACATCCATCCATCCATCCATGCATCCATGCATCCATCCATCCATCCATCCATCCATCCATCCATCCACCCGGTCTCATGGGGATCAGACCTGGACGCACAAGTCCTTGCTGGCACAAGCAGCCTCTGCACTGATGCTGATGGCTCCAACCCTACAGAAAATACAGGCAGAGGCTCCTCCTGCACACACAAAGCCCTCGGGTGTCACGGATTTCCACGGTCCCCTGCAGCACCAGCAACCTCAGAAGGTCCAGAAAAAGCCAAGTGAGAGCCACCTACCCGCCCTGGTGCCCAAACTAACTGAAGTGTAGGAAGGAAGATGACAAAGATGAGAAAAGTAAATTAGATTTTTTTAAAAGGTTCTTTCCATTTTCATCTAGCAGAATGTGTTTATGGCACAGGCAGGGAATTGAAAGTATTATTTTTATCTTGATATTATTTACCCTTTCACACTTGCTATTTAAATATCCCTGAATTCCCAGAAGAACCAGCAATTCAAAATACCATTTGATATATATTTATAAGAAAGGGGAAGCACAGACTCATTCATTTTCAGCTTGCCTACTGTTGTGGTTGGTTCTTTTTTTTAAATTAGATTTTAAGTGCTCTAATATCAATGTGCAAGTTTTTCAAGACACAGAAGTATTATTTCTCCTCCAGCCTCAGTAAAGAATCTCCAGTCCTAGAGCAGGTGTCTTGCTGGCTGGGAGACTTGGTCACACCAGAAACGCACAGCAAGAAGCAAATAGCAAGAGGTTTAAAATAATTTAGACAAAACAATTTATAAAATTAAAAAAAAATAATAATAATCAGGAGAGTTGTGAGAAAAGGAATAAGGTTTCTTGAACAAGAGAGGATGGGAATAAAAGACTTTTCATATCAAAATCTCTGTTCTACCAGTCTCTGTAGCCAACCTCAGCTAAATAACTTGCAGTTGTTGCAGAAGAGGCAACCCTGGATGCCAGGAAAACTGCGGCAGCACAGCGTTACACTGCAACACTCCTCTGAACCGAGCAATTGCCCACATCCCTCTAGGAGGGAGAAATCGTATCCGAAAGCTCAGTTTCATTTTAGACACAATGGGAGGAGATACCAGAGATGGAGATCTAACCGAGGAGCCAGAACTGCAGCAGGACACGTGGTTCCACTGCTCAGCCTCTCCCATGTCTGCCAAAGCCACACCAGCAGTGGTTGTGGCCTTTTTTTTTTTAATTGCATTAATATACACCAGCAAACCAAAAGGGTGGGAGGTTCTGGAGAGAGCAACAGGTTATTTGTTGCTCAGCTGATGGCTGGAGTGAGGGGATCAGCCACATCATTATCACCCCAGAAAAAGCCCAGAGACCCACCTGGGGGTGAGATGAGATGGAAAAGGACATCGAAGTGGGATAAGCTGGTGGAGCAGAACGGCACCGAGGGGCCAGACCATCGGTGATTTAAAGACCAGACCCATCTGCATCGACTCCTGGATGAAGGTGAGCCCAACAAGGCAGGATGGGGCACTGTGTACTCACAGCCCTGTCGCAAAGGGAACTACCAGCCAAGAAAAAGGCGTAAATGCTGCATAAAACATGAACCTTATTGCTATTGCTACTGGATGAAGACAAAAAGGAGGGGAAAAAAAAAAAAAACCAAAACTCATAGTTTTTGCCCAGCCTTCCCAGTCCCAGTCCATGCACCACACAGCTAGTAAACACTTCGGATTTAGCAGGATGTATCACGAAGAGCAACACTTCAGGCCACCCCACGTGTTATCCCTGGGTTTGCAAACAGACGACCGCTTGTTTGTGCGGCGCTCCCAGACATAAGGACACATTTCGAGCTGCAAATGTCACAGAATACTTCAAATGCAAACAAGCAGAGGTTTTTCAAGGCGTATTCAGTGTGATGGTAGAAGAATGAAAGCGTGCTTTTAGGTTTCCAAACCCTGTGGTTTTTGATAGGCAACACAAAGACACCGAGCAGTTCAGTGGAAACGCAAGATTTCCCCAGCAAAGTCCACTCCAGTGCTAGATGGTGCAGGTTAATTGTATCACGCAGTCAGGGCGAGCTTTTATTAAAAGCTTCAAACCACAAACACTTTGTAGTACAAAAGCAACAACAACAAAAAACCACAAAGTTTCTGCAGCCAGCCAAGGACTACGGCAGAAAGCGGCGCTTTATACATTTAAGAGTAGTTTTATTTCCTCTCCTTGCACTTGAAAGTCCATCTCACTGACTCATTTATGGCTAAAGCTTCCTGAATTAGCCTGAAAGGAAAAAAAAGAAATAAATAAATACCGCTACACTCTACGTGAGGTTAAAACTGAGCCAAAACCCATTATCTAACTACCACACGGGTCACAGAGCACTTCCTGACACTGCCATCACACTGGAGGTCAACGCATCAATGCTTCGTTGTATTAAGTGACCACGGGACAGCGTGGCCGTGGCTGCGGGTGGCAAAGTGGGCGCAAGGACCTCCCACCTCCACCCAGTCACCGGCCACGTGGGACACAAGCGTGGTCCTTGGAAGGGCACAGCACACCCAGCACGTGTGTCCCTCTTTGCTCGCAGCCCCGGGCAAGGCCAACCCCTGTCCCCCCACTGCTCGTCCGCACGCAGCCCCGTGCAAGGGCAGCCAGTCTCTACGCTGTGCAAATGCACACGTGCAAACGCCGTGCAAGGGCAGCCACAGTCCCTAGTTCACACGCGCACAACTCTGTGTCGGGCCAGCCCTGCTCCCGGGTGGCAAACCCAAATGTCTGCGTACAACTGTGTCCTTAGGTAACACACAGACCCGCCATGTAAGGCCACCCTTGTCCCCAAACTGCACTCACACACCCCTGTGCCAGGCCAGCCCTGTCCCCGTGTTGCACACACACCCTGTGCAAGGCCACCCTTATGCCCGTTTCATGCACATCTGTGTGCAAGGCCAGCCCTGTCCCCAAACTGCCCACACACCCTGTGCAAGGCCAGCCCTGTCCCCGTGTTGCACACACACACCCCCGTGCCAGCTCAGCCATGTCCCCATGTTGCACAACACACAACTCCTTATGCAAGGCCACCCTTGTCCCCAAGCTACACACACACAACTCCTCGTGCAAGGCCAGCTCTGTGCCCCCCACGTTACACACACATACCTTGTGCCAGCTCAGGCCTGTCCCCAAGGCTGAACACACACACCCTGTGCAAGGCCAGCCCTGTCCCCAAGCTACACACACACACACACACACAAAACTCCTCGTGCAAAGCCCATGTTACACATGCCCCCCGTGCCAGACCAGCCCTGTCCCCATGTGGCACAGACACACCCTGTGCCAGCTCAGGCCTGTCCCCAAGCTACACAATACACACACACACACACACACACACACAGAGCCCCTTGTGCAAGGCCAGCCCCGTCCCCATGTTGCACACACACACACCTCCTTGTGCAAGGCCACGCCTGTCCCCACATTATACACACACCCCCACACAGACACACACCCCCTGTGCCAGCTCAGGCCTATCCCCACGTTACACAGACACAGACACACGCACACACCGAGCTCCTTGTGCAAGGCCAGGCCTGTCCCCACGTTACACAGACAGACAGACACACACACACACACACACCCTGTTCCAGCTCAGGCCTCTCCCCACATTACACACACACAGACACACACACACACACACACACACACCCTGTGCCAGCTCAGGCCTGTCTCCACGTTACACACACAGACAGACAGACACACACACACACACCCCTGTGCCAGCTCAGGCCTCTCCCCATATTACACACATACACACACACACTCACACTCACACCCTGTGACAGCTCAGGCCTGTCCCCACATTACACACACACACTCACACCCACACCCTGTGACAGCTCAGACCTGTCCCCACATTACACACACACACACACACACACACACACACACACACACACACA